ATTGAATGAATGAATAAATAAAGTAGTAAATCTAAAGCATAATCTGGATTAATTTACCTAAATTCCTCTAGCTCAGGGGTCGGCAACCTTTCAGAAGTGGCGTGCCAAGTCTGAATTTATTCACTCCAATTTAATGTTTCGCGTGCCAGTAATATATTTTAAGATTTTTAGAAGGTCTCTTTCTCTAAGTCTATAATATATAACTAAACTATTGTTGTATGTAAAGTAAATAAGGCTTTAAAAATGTTTAAGAAGCTTCATTTAAAATTAAATTAAAATGCAGAGTCCGCCGGACCGGTGGCCAGGACCCAGGCAGTGTGAGTGCCACTTAAAATCAGCCTTCGGCACGCGTGCCATAGGTTGCCTACCCCTGCTCAAGCTAGACAAACCCTTAGTGACTCTCACATTTGACCTAGCCCCATTCCCACCCGAACATTCCACCTCCCCTCTCATTCATCCAGCTTTGTTTTAACACCCCGAGGCAACTACAACAATTGCTTATGTGTGTGAAAAGTAATATTATGAAGGTAACATTCAACTGTCTTTAGTGTGATGCAGAGCAGCTGGAAAAAGGGGCAGGATCATGTGATTAGACAGTTCCTTGAGGCCTCTAGTCCACAGAACACAGTTGAGGACTTATGTTGCTAAGACAAATAGGAGTGGGGAGGGGAGTTGCAAGATACAGAAGTATCTTAAGGTGATTCTCTCACCAATATCTTCTAGACACATGGGGTGAAATATCTTGGCACCACTAATCAATGGGAATTTTGTCACTCACTTCAATGGAGCCAGGACTTCACCCCAAGAATTTAAATTTTGAGGACCAATTTCAATCGCATTGTTTCCAATGGGAGCGTCACCAGTCACTACCAAGTAAATACTGGTTAAAACCCAAAACTTAATGAGAGATTGCAAGGCAGAAACTGCACATATAACAAACAACTGAACATCAGTTAGACCAAGTATTAGTATGTATTTATGCACAATAAAAACAGCTTTACAAGTTGAACTGGAAATTTAAACAGGAAGTTTAACAGCTTTTGTATATTATATTAAATAACCAAAACACCTTTTTCCAAAATTGGTAAAGAATAAATAATATAATTTACAATATGGTACAAAAAAATCAGTAAGGACAGGCATTCTGCTTTATACATACACTATATATGTATATTTATAATCTATAAAACAAATTCACATTTTAAACAAGCCAAAAACCTTAGATGATATGGCTTTATTATTAAAAAACAGCAATAAATTTTGCTGCCAAACCAAAGCTCTAAAGCCAGTTATCATGTTTCAGTAACTAATGATAACTTATCGCCGTAGTGCTTGCCAAGGTTTCACTTATTTAACATTTATAAATCATTGTGAACTCAGGAGATTTAAAGGTTTGAAAAGATTAAAAAAGTGCAGTACTTTCCTTACAAATGCATCTGTCTTTTGAGTGTAAAAAAAATGCAATAGTAATTTCCACTGTGGGATTGATAGTCAGTAGACAAGCTTTCTTTGTAGATTATGTTTGATCCAAGCTATTTACTTCAATTTAGAAATATAAGTAAGAAGGGTGCCAAAGAAAAGTTACACAATGCCATTTTAAAAACCAATTAAAATTCCTATACTGGGTAGATTTACTGATGAAGGACAGAATGAATTGTTTGGCTGAGCAGAATCTGATGCCCTGGTAGCTGGCCCATTACTAAGTGCACACGTGCAGAAAAAGGCAGATGTATTCTTTAGGAGGTAATATTTTTTTATACCCAAACTACAATGACAAGTTTCATGTTTCCAACATCCCACTTTAGGGGAATACAAAGAAACCAGTTACATCATTCCATGTACACTCACAGGCTTGCCAGTCAAACAAGTGAGGTTAAAAAAAAAAAAAAAAAAAATCTAAACTTTAAGTCAGAGCACAAGCTTTACAGGAACTTACATCAGAAGTAGAAGCCAGGTTGTCAATGTCTATTCCCCCCTCCCAGCCTCCTCACAGTGCCCCATGAAGATATGAAAATAATGGAGTAAGCGTTACTCCCCTGAAACAATCCTGCCTGCAGTTGACTAGCAACATACTTGAACATCTGTTCAGAAAAAGCTGAAATGGTTACCCAAGTTGTTCTGGTTACTTAGTCATGTTGGAGGAGCTGAAATAGCATAATTCAACTTTTATTTTTTTTACTTTAAACAAGATGTTAGCTTTCCCCATGGCAGCCCTAGGTACAGTCTGTTGAAGTCCAGCATACAATGGGCCATCTGCTAGAGATCCACCAATTCCTAGAGAAAGGTATCTCCCAAGGTGTGTCTACAAGCAACTTCACGAAGACTGTAAGTTCTCTATTGATCTGAATTTAAAATTTTGTTTTAAAATTTTCCCTGATGACAAGAAACTTTGCATTGTAACAGCAAAACCCAAGCAAAACAATGTGCAGGGTATCATAACATTCCTGAATCAGAGACCAGATATAGGAGGTAGGAGTATTCTCTGTGCACTGCAAATATCAGGAAGAGGGGAGTGAAGGAGGGGGCCATGGAGACCATGGGGAGAGGAGAGGATGTTCAAATATGTATTTATAAGAAGAATTTTTTAAAAGGCAGATGCTAAGCACATTTTTATCATAGAATTTCTGGGTGCTGAAAGGTGGCTCTGCCCTATTCTTCATATTTGCCTTCCCACCTAGTGCTCCTGTTCTGCCTTGAGAAGTCCAGGATATTAAAATCTGCTGGCCTCATGGGCCATTACAAATATCCACTACATTGAGATTCATCCTGTAACAATTTTTTTCCTGTGGCAAGGCATATGGGCTGTAGACAGCTCCCTACATTCTGGCGATAGACTCATAAGCAGATCCTGGTGAAATGTCATACCCTTCACTTGCAACAGAGTTGGCATAATCTAGAACCCCTGTGAGGAAGAGTGCCTCACAAGATCAATGTGACATTCGTCCTATTATCAATATCTATTTTGGGGGGCAGGGGAAGGTTGAAGTAACGAAATATACTTGCCAGCATAAGGCTAACTTCTCAAAATGTAAGACATAAAAACCAACTGAAGGCTCAGATTTGTTGCACTTGACTAAAACTTGTCACTTCTCCTCCTTCTTCATGTGCTAAATGTCATTATGTTTCGATAATCCACAGGCACATCTATACTAGGAAGCCTCTGTTAGTTAGCAGAAGTATTTCTGGAGAATACAGACGGCATTACTAATGGGGGTAGCCAAAACCTGGAGTTGGTGCTTTGAGAAAGACTGGACTGAAAGACATCTGAACTACAACAATCACTGGAAAGATTCAGACAGTGGGATTCTTGGGATTAATGGAAATCCTGGTTTCTACCAAGTTTGAACCCTTCAGAAACAAATATACATGACTAAGTGTAGATTTGACTGGCAACCTTAAATGTGTTTGTGTTCTAGGACTGTGTGAGACCCTATAAACTGGGATAGGATTTTAGACTGCATGTTCTGAGAGGAAAGAACTCAGGTGACCTATAGCCAAAGAACGGAGTTAGCTTATTAGTATGAAATCTGCCCCCTCTTAATGTGCAGACCCACTGCTTGCTAGTAATGCAGGTCTGAGTCCCTGCTGGGAATACCCAACTGTACGAATGCGGTGTCTAACTGGGCAGGTGGTTCCAACATCCAAGAGAAGAACGAAGCAACCAGACACAAGGCATCCTACAGCATGAATCAAAGGAGTGGCCTCCAAGTCTTTCCACCCATTAGAGAAGGAGGTAAATAAACCTGCTCTGGGTCACAGAGTATGAACATCAGAAAACTGGTTAAATTCTCTCTTAAAGCTAGAGAAGCACAATGCAAAGAATATGCCAACCAATATCAAAAATTGATAACTAGGTGGGGGTAAAGTGACAGGGAACATTGTATGCCCAATCAGTGCTTTGTGGTCAACATTTTAATAAGACTCCCAGTCAAATGCTTTGTAGGAGTGGGTAGAACTACATCCAGAGCATAGCGCAAGTTGAGAAAATGAAGCCCTGGTAATGGCCTTAAGGATATAGAGGGGTTTATGTTTGAATCATTAGCAAACAGCTATGTATATAAAAGTTTGAGGTTTATACAGGACTAGCATCTATTTTCTTCAGAGCTACCTAAAATAGTCAAGGGGAATCCTTTTACTGGAGGCTGCAGATAAATGCTTTAAAAACAGGCACAGTAAAAGTATCCTTTTCAAGACTGATGAGAAAAGCAATAGGAGAAGGATGTATCCTGAGCTATTAAAAGCAAAAGGAAAACCATCTGTAAAGGAAGTAACGTTACTAGAACTCCTTTGGACCTGCTGATATCAGGACTTGGGTCTTTCAGGCATTAAAACACTATGCCATAGAAATGCATAACGGCTTAGCTGGGAACTTCTGGACCCACCAGTGCCAGGGAGGGACTACAGTGAAAAATGATGCCCTGAGGTACCACAGAGCATCTAGGTAGGCCACGATAGGGTGGAGAGGTCAGATTAAGATGGGACTTGACACCTCGCCTCCTCATTTGAAAGACATAAGATTGTTGAAATCTAACTTAGTTAAAAAATATTATTTATATGAACATTATTCTTTCCTATCTCCTCTCCCATAAGAATCCCCAATGAGATGCTGGATCTGGTGTTTATGTGGAGAAAGATGGTGATATACAGGTTTCCTAACAAAAACAAAACCTATTAAGACAAAGCGTTAAGAGTGATTCCAGGAAGACCACTTTCTGCAGTGTTTTCTCTCCTGGAAAGTAACCATCTTCCAGGGAAAACAGACTCTCATTGGTGGGGGGTGACTCACTGCACTGTCCAATGCGATGAAGAATCCTGTGTCAGCCTGCTAAAAGGAGCAAATAGATTCAGTCAGAAGGATGGTGGCTGTGATGTAGGGTAGGATTTAAAAAACAAGAAAAATCCACAGAGCTCCCCCCCAATATTTAGGGGAGCCTACATGCGCCCCAAAACAAGAATGCAGGCATCTGCCCCACTGGAATGTTCAATAAACAAGGCGTAGCCAAAGAAACAATGTTTTTTAAATTGCAGCACAAGTATCACAGAGTAATGGTGCCTTTCAGGAGAGTGCAAGAAACTTCAGTTTGACTGATTCGACAATCGTGCCAAACAGTACGTTTCAAGATGTGAATAGAAAAAGGATTTCCCTCTCCCTCCACCCCTCAATTTCAATGTGGATCCCAAATCATGGTATGTTGATCAGCATGCAAAAAAAGATTCAAGTTGAAGAAGTTTCTAGCCATACTCTTGTCCAAGCTTCTTGCCTAGGCCATGCCAAAAGTACAAATCCAGGACCACCTCAAACTCATTTATTCACCATCTTATATCATTGATGCAGACACATCACTCCCTGTAATGTTTCACGTTACATTTTCCCCAGCGTATTGCACATTCTAGGACTTGCAGATACTTCTTCAGACCTCTAAAGACAATGCTGCTCTTCTAGAAAGGCGTGCACTGGACGACAGCATTTGGACATCAATTGCATATCCTCAACTTGCCTCTCAGATCCAGTACAATAAATTCCACTAAGCTGAACAGTCTCCACCAGCGTACTGGTCTCTTATGCTCACTGTGAGAGGTCACCAATGGGGGGGCCGCCTCCTCCTCCATCAAAGAGGATTTCCCTACGGGTTGGCTCAGGTATTGACAGCTCCTGGGCAAGATCGTTGAAACGAGATATGTAATCTATGCTGTTCTCATTCATCATGCAAGCCAGCTGGGAATCCACCACCTAGAAAATGGATAGGAGAAAAGAAACCCACAGATCAGCAGAGGTTTGTCTCATTCATTTGGGTTAAAGAGAGTAACACTTGCCTGTGACTACTAAGGGACCAGATAATACAAGCTGAGATCAGGGCCACATAGGAAAGTACAAGATTTTCACCTCCAATTCATCTGTTCCAATGCAGCCCAGCTCAACAGTTATCTGCTGGCTCTTCAGTGGCCTCTCTGAAATGAATTAGTAGCCTCAGTCCAATTTTAGCTGACAAGTGTCCACTTCACAAAAAAATTCAGTTTGGTATGTCTGTGGCCACCTAAGCCAACAGGCTAAGAATGAATGGGACATACCAACACATCTTTACAGCTGACCCTCCAGATCAGCAGTGAGATGCACTGGCAGAGTGATGTGGGGTAAGCTTGCACAACTACTGCCTGCACTGTACCTGTTCTGTACATAAACAAGACTTCCTTCTGCAGGACCCTTGATGACAGACCTTTTAGAACACTGTTTTTGTTAAAAGCAACAGAGGGTCCTGTGGCACCTTTGAGACTAACAGAAGTATTGGGAGCATAAGCTTTCGTGAGTAAGAACCTCACTTCTTCAGATGCAAGATACTGTTTTTGTTAAGAATATTATTAAACTGTTGTGGCTGCTTCCTCCACCCCCAACAACAACATGACAGCTTGCCTAAAGTAACAGCTAACATATCACCTTCTCTTTGAAGGGAATGTTAACCAGATGACTGCACTGAGTCAGTTAAATTCTATACAAGTACAATGCTATGAGCTCTGAATTAACATAGGCTTCATTCACTACAGCAAAAACTGGCAGACTTTGCTGACAGAAAGTCGGACTGGAGGCTGCAGTGGCATAAAGGTGCTCACACTCTCACCTCCCTGTCCAGAGTGGAGGCATAGTTATAACAGACAGCAATGCATATTGAATCAGCATAGTTCTGCTGCAGGTCTATGGATCAAGGTATGGAGAACAGCTGGATTAGAACTCCCTGTATGCTGAGTTCAAAGCATATCATCTATAGCAGCGTTTCTCAAACTGGAGTCATGCCCCACTGATCAACTCTTCCCACTCCCTCCCAGCACCTCCTGCACACTGGGGAACAGCTGTTCAGCGGCATGCAGGAGGCGCTGAGAGGGAGGGGGAGGAATGGGGATGAGGCATGCTCGGGGGAGGGGTTGGAATCATGTCCTGGGGCCTCCAGCCACGCTGATCAACTCCTCCCCCTCCCTCCTAGCACCTCCTGCATGCCGGGGAACAGCTGTTCCA